CTGTAATGTCATCAATCAATCACATCAAACGTTATTTATATAGCACAGTTCTTACAACGAATGCATTTCAAGGTGTTCAGTCGCTGGATGGGGTGTTGTCTGTAAAGTGGGGCCCAGATAACGAAGAGGAGGACTGCTGGCCAGTACCCAAAATCCTTATCTTACAACCCTGCAGGTCAGTACCTTTTAGATCCCCCTATCACTATTGGTTCTCCTCAGTGACCTCACAGCTGGGGGTTTGAACTCTCCTCTTGAGAATTAGAATCAGAAGTACAGTCGTATAGCTCATCGCAATACTTCATCTCTTCGGGCAAATAGTACCCTAGACTGTCCTGATCATCTAGTTGAGCATTTCAGATAATTCCTCCATCCCAGCAGAAATGTCCCATCCACATAGTAGGATGTTCGAGGTGCAGATAGCCCAAAGCCCAGTCTATTTCACTGTTACTATAGTCAAGTCTGTGGGTTATGGTATTTGAATATAGATGTTACCATTTTAGTAATCAACTTAGCTAGCTAGTAAAAGTTTTAAAAAAAAATTGTCTTTCAGACAGGCGGACCGGAAACCCAGTGACAACATTTGGGTCTGTAGCTGCCATTTCCCGGTGGGAAAGAGAAACGGCCCTGTATTTACCAGAAAAGGTAAGTCACCCACCACGGCAGAAGAGGAAGATCCTGACTGTTGATTAGGAAACCAGAACAAACAATGAGGTATGAGGATTGGCTGTTGAGGGAGCACGTGTCACATGGTCCAAGGTGTCATGATAAACAATGCCTTTTTCTGTCCAGATAAAGATGTTGATACAGCATTGAAAAAGACCCACCACTGACCACGCCTCTTTGTTATCCCGTTCAACAGCAGTGGATCCTTCAGACCATCCGGTGCATGGACATCCTGTGCCAGTGTGATCCGAGCGCGAGTGTCCAGTTGTGGAGACTTCATCACATAGAGCCTGTGGACGGACAGCTCAGTAACACATCAAATATGATACAATATTGTGTAAAACATTGAATTTGTAGATGCATCAACATTTTGACTTTATGACCCCTTTTCCCCGTGTTTTAGGCATGAGGCGTGACAGTCGGAACATCAGGCTCACCCCATCACAAATATAAATTCCCGCTGTGCCCATGATAAAATGCAATGTGAATTGTGTTGTACTACTGAAATGAAACTGAGGAGATTCACTCAGACCAGCCTCGTGATTTAACTTACGTTAAATACATTACTTTAGTTGGCTGCTTTGAGCAAAACTCGTATGTAATATAACCTATTCTGGAAGCCTAGTGTGTGTGTGTATGAACTATGTGGAATACTTTTGGACCATTGGCTTCCCTGAAAACAGGTACTGACAGGAGGAGCCGTATGAGTCTGACAGAGGTCGTCACGCTGGACGGGGATGGTGATGGAGGCTTTGGTGGTCCACACAACGAAGAAGCAGGTGTCCCTTCCAGTGATGTGGAGCTGACCCTGGACCGGGTTTCAGTAAGGATGGTCTTCACGGAGGCTCCTTGATATAGATATCCTTTGACTTCACTGCCTCTTCAATGGTAAGAACCCTTGCACTATAGGGACCATTGACCTCCACCACTGCTGGGGCGGCAGGTAGCTTAGTGGTTAAGAGCGTTGTGCCAGTGAAAAATCTGCCGATGTGCCCTTGAGCAAGGCACTTAACCCTAATTGCTCCTGTAAGTCGCTCTGGATAAGAGCGTCTGCTAAATAATGTAAAGGTGCCCACCAGACCATCCATTGAGGCACCCAGGATCCCAGACCCTGTGACCCAAAGCCCTGACTCCTGCACATCAATCCCTGTAGCCATTTTGAATGCCTTGATGCCCTCCTCTTCGTTATCTGTGCCCCACTTTACAGACAACACCCCATCCAACGACTGTGATCTGAGGACCCCTTTTTTTAACAGCGACGGAGTAACACGTTTGGCCCTAATCGCTGCTCCATAATTGCTGGCCGTCAACCTCCCTCTCCTCATGGTGTGCCAGTTGGGGTTGGTGTGCTGTCCAACTGTTGCCTGCCGTATAGCCTCCTGCTGCTCCACCGACAGCGCCACGCCAGCCAGGATGCCTGCATGCCCCAGGTGCCCTTGTTTTTGTACAGACATGGATGACAGGGAGGGTAGCGGTTTTTCTGGCTCAGGTTTAATGAGACATGTCATTCCACTGAACCTGCCCCGGAGACCGTTCCTTAGCCACTGAAGATCCTCCTCTGACAGAGGGTTGTAGTCTTCGGCCGGGTACAGGTCCTCCACTGACTGCACCTGGCTGGGCCACGGCTAGCTTCCTCCATTCACATTCCACATCCGTACGGCCGATACTGTGAACTGAAAAAAATAGGCTGCATGGCTACACTTATGAGCACCACGGAGGCGTTCGCATGTGGTAAAGAGAATCCCCTGGTCACCTATAGAGACCTGCCAAGAGGAAGGACGTTAAGTGCCACATGCCTTTCAATGCACGATTTTGAACACCTTGAAATGCATTTGTTGTAAGAAATGTGCTATATAAATCAAGTTTGATTTGATTGATGACATTACAGCTGTAGAATGCATCCACTGTGGCGGACTATAGACAACATGGACAGTATATGAATAGAAAAGGTGTGTCCAGCAGTAGTTATATGGGATGAGCCATGACTAGAATACAGTATGTACATTCAGAAAGTATTCACACCCCTTGACTTTTTCCACATTTTGTTGTGATAGTCTGAATTAAAAATGGATTACATTGAGATTTTGTGTCACTGGCCTACACACAATACTCCATAAAGTAAAAAGTGGAATTATGTTTATTTTATTTTTTATTATTAATAAAATATGAAAAGCTGAAATGGAGACAATAAGTATTTAACCCCTTTGTTACGGCAAGCGTAAATAGTAAACATTTGCTTAACAACTCACATAAGTTGCATGGACTCAATCTGTGTGCAGTAATAGTGTTAAACATGATTTTTTAATGACTACCTCATCTCTGTACCCCACACATACAATTATCTATAAGTTCCCTCAGTCGAGCAGCGAATTTCAAACACAGATTTAACCACACAGACCAGGGAGGTTTTCCAATTTAACCGCTCAGTGATTTCACCAGGAGGCCAATGGTGACTTTAAAACAGTTACAATGTTTAATGGCTGTGACAGGAGAAAACGGAGGATGGATCAACAACATTGTAGTTACTCCACAATACTAACCTAATTAACAGAGTGAAAAGAAGGATTCCAGAACAGAATAAAAAATGATAAAATATGCATCCGGTTTGCAATTCAGCTCTAAAGTAAAACTGAAAAAAATTGGGCAAAGAAATTAACTTTTTGTCCTGAATACAAAGCGTTATGTTTGGGGCAAATCCAACACAACATATCACTGAGTACCACTCTTCATATTTTCAAGCATGGTGACTGCATCATGTTATGGGTATGCTTATCATTGGCAAGAACTAGGGAGTTTTTTAGGATAAAAAGAAATGGAATGGAGCTAAGCACAGGAAAAATCCTATAGGAAAACCTGGTTCAGTCTGCTTTACACAAGACACTGAGAGATTAATTAACCTTTCAGCAGCACAATAACCTAAAACACAAGGCCAAATCTACACTGGAGTAGCTTACCAAGACACCATTGAATGTTCCTGAGTGGCCTTGTTACAGTGTTGCCTTAAATTGGCTTGAAAGTCTATGGCAAGACTTGAAAATGGCTTTCTAGCAATGATCAACAACCAGAGCTTGAAGAATTTTGAATAATATTGTGCAATTATTGTACAATCCAGGTGTGTAAAGCTCAGACTTACCCAGAAAGACTCACAGCTGTAATTGCTGCCGAAGGTGATTGTAACATGTATTGACTCAGGGGTGTGAATCCTTATGTAAATGAGTTATTTCTGTATTTCATTTTCAATACATTTGCAAAATATTCAAAAAACATGCGTTCACTTTGTCATTATGGGGTATTGTGGTAGATGGGTGACCAGTGTTCAATGACTATGTACATAGGGAAAAGCAATCTCTAAGGTCCAGGGTAGAGTACCAGGTGGTAGCTGGCTAGTAATTGCAATCAGAAGATACTATTAACATTTGATTACTAACAGAATAAATAGCAATAGAATAACTGCAGAATAAATAATGCTGTAATTGAAAATTGTACACCCAAGGTAGGCTACTGCCCCTTTAAGAGCTAGAATAGATTTTAGATGACATATAGGCTAAGATCACATGAACTAAAAACTCCACACATTTTAGATTTTTTGTGAGTCCTTCACAATCGCTAATCAATATCCAAAAACAGCACACGATTTTTTTCTCCCGCGAATTTGGACAACATCACCAATTTGAGGGTTTATGGCAGTGGGAAACTGTGTTGCAGTAGTCTTGTTTGTGGTGCGGGGATGACAAGCGATCCTGGGGAGCTTTGCATTCACATTGTCCTATAAAAGGGAACCGGACCGCGGAATTCAAGCGAACGAAACTCAGAACACCTCTCGAGATGGTTTCAGTTCGGTTCGCTTCGCTTCGGGGGCTCTTTTGAGTGTCTGAGTTCCTTTGGAATGTTCACACTGCACAAAAAATTAAGCGAACCGCACTGAGTTCACAAAAATTGTCTGAAACGGACCAAGTGTGAAAACACCCTAAGGTTCAGGGCAAATCATTTGTTGTTCATTTCATATGAGCAACCAGTTATTTGAATAAAGTGGATAACAAAATATAAAACGCAATGCTGTAACCCAAAATAAATAATGCCCCAGTTTCTGTAATTTCAGATTTGACTGACATCCACTGTAAACTTGTAGTTGTTTTTTCCACCCACTCTTTCATCCAATCAGCTCGAAGGGGCGGGCTATGACAGTATTCCAGACAAAATGGCGGATGTTGTTGTTTTGCCGCAGGGTCAGTGCTAATCGGAGTTCGCCTTTTAAGCGATTTACTGCCAGAAAATACAGAAATAACATCGTTGGCGACAAACCTTCACCGTTGTAAGGGTTCGCGAGGTGGACTGTAATGAAAGGCAAAGAAAGGTCGCCGATTAAAAAGCGCTCTCGGGCTTTGGATGATATCCGAGATAGGGGAGGAGGCCATCCGCCCAGCAAGAAAATGGGGGCTATCTCGGTTTCCAGTGGGAGCAATAATGGAAATAGCTCGACTAAAAGTGACGCAGGATCTACGAGAAGGAGTTTGTTGGGCGAAAAGAGAGACAGGGATTTTGACGGGCATGTTTCCAGTAGATCCGGCGTGAGTAACCATAGCTATCCCGGTGCTGTTGCTAGTGCTATCGGTAAGAACCACAACCTGGGCTTGACTCTCGATTTAGCCACGGCAAGGACTAGTAATTCTCGCGGCGAGCGTGCTCTGCCTCCCCCCAACAACAACGAGAGTGAGTACAAAACTCTTAAAATCAGTGAACTGGGAACTCAGTTGAGCGACGAAGACATAGAAGACGGACTTTTTCACGAATTCAAAAAATTCGGTGACGTGAGTGTCAAAATAAGCCGCAGCAACGACGAGAGAATCGCGTTTGTCAACTTCAGAAAGCCCGAGGATGCAAGAGCAGCTAAACACGCCCGGGGCAGGTTAGTACTTTACGACCGTCCTCTGAAAATCGACGCAGTGTACATCAACAGACGGAGAAGTCGCTCTCCAGTTGAGAGAGTTGACAGAGACCCCTATGTTGGAGCCCCAGGTCACAGACACCTTCACACCCAGAGACCCCTCTCCCCATCGGGGCTTGGATACAGAGACTACAGACTACAGCAGCTGGCCCTTGGGCGCCTCCCTCCTCCCCCACTTCCCCCTTTGCCCAGAGACCTAGAGCGGGAGAGGGAGTTTGCCCTGTTTGAAGCCAGGTCGCGCCCAGGTCCAGCTTTCATTGCAGAGAGAGCTGCTGCTTTCCGCGAGGAGGATTTTATCTCTCCCGAGGATGACCAAAGAGCTAACAGGACGCTGTTTCTGGGCAACTTGGACATCACAGTCACAGAGACGGACCTGAGGAGGGCGTTTGACAGGTTTGGGGTGATAACAGAGGTGGATATAAAGCCCACACGGGGACAGACCAGCACATATGGATTTCTGAAGTTTGAGAATCTCGACATGGCCCACCGCGCCAAACTCACCATGTCTGGGAAGATAGTGGGCCGCAACCCCATAAAGATTGGCTATGGTAAGGCCACCCCCACCACACGCCTATGGGTGGGCGGGCTCGGACCCTGGGTCCCCCTAGCTGCACTGGCCAGAGAGTTTGACCGCTTTGGTACAATAAGGACCATTGACTACAGAAAGGGGGACACCTGGGCCTATATCCAGTACGAGAGCCTTGACGCTGCTCAGGCTGCGTGCACGCACATGCGTGGCTTCCCTCTGGGGGGGCCCGAGAGGAGACTCAGGGTGGACTTTGCAGACACAGAGCACCACTACCAGCAGCAGTTCCTTCAGCCTCTTCCTCTACCTCCCTTCGACATGGTGGCAGAGTCTTTCATCCACCGCGCCACAGCTGAGCCCCTGAGGGACAGAGAAAGGACTCCACCGCCGCTCCACTTCAGAGAGAGAGAGCTGGGCTTCCCCGGGGCTGAATGGCCCCCCAACCCGGCTATGCGTGAACGGGTACGTCCCGGGGCCTTTGAGCCGCCGGACCACCTGCAACGGGACCGGCGGATGGGGGGGAGGGAGCCCTGGTCTCTGGAGCGAGAGCTGGTGGGGCGCGGCGGCGACCTGGGGCGTAAACGACGCCTCATGGACGATGGTCGCCATCTTGACGTCTCTCCTGACAGCACCGACCGCACGGCACGCCGGCGCAGAGGTGGCCCATCCCCAGACGGTAGCCCTGATGGAGGCCGTTTCAGTGACTCAGAGCGCCCCCCTCGCGGCGACGACAGACCCTCCCCTGGACGAGACCGCCGCCCCAGTCTGGAGCGTCCTGGCGGAGGGGACAGGAGACTGAAGAACCAGGGGAATCTCGCCGAGAGAGGGGCCTCCAGCAGTGGCCTCGCATCTTCAGCAGGGGAGCGGAAACGTAAAGCCGGCGACAGCAGCAGCAGAGGACCCGGAGCTAAGAGGGATCGCTCCTCAGACCAGGGCGGCTCTAAAGGCAGTCAGTCATCCAAGCTGAGCCTGGCCTGGCACGGCATGTTGCTCCTGAAGAACAGCAACTTCCCCGCCAACATGCACCTCCTGGAGGGCCACCAGGGCGTGGCCAAGGACCTCCTCGTCGACGGCCCCACGGGGAGACAGGTGGGAGAACTCAAGATCACCCAGCGTCTCCGCCTCGACCAGCCCAAGCTCGATGAGGTCTCCAGACGCATCAAAGCGGCCGGCCCCGGCGGCTACGCGGTCCTCCTGGCAGTTCCTGGTTCCGGTGGCGAGGAGGTGTCGTCGACGGACCCTGCAGCTTCGACCCAGCGTCCTCTCCGCAATCTGGTGTCCTACCTGAAACAGAAGCAGGCAGCCGGAGTCATCAGCCTGCCGGTTGGAGGCAGCCGGGATAAGGATCACCAGGGTGTTCTCCACGCGTTCCCTCCCTGTGAGTTCTCCCAGCAGTTCGTTGATGCCTCGGCTAAAGCTCTGGCCAAAACGGACGAGGACTATCTGGTGATGGTCGTGGTGCGGGGGCCATCATAACTACAATCAGAGAGAGGATGCAGGAAAACGGGACATCAATGATATTGTACAAAAGAAAAAAGATGTCATTAACTACTATTGCATGCTGAGTGTGGAGTTCTACTCCATGGGGTACTACTAGAGGGTAGGGGTATGATGGGGGGGGATAGGCTGTGTCACTATTTGTTCCATCAAAATAAATATGAAATGCCGTCTTGAAAGTCAACAAATGTGTAGGCACATTTCGGAACCCCTGTTTTGTTAAGGGTGTGCTAATTTCTAAACAACGTATGCAGTATTATAAAAGGGGGCACATTCTAGAATTAAAGTGAAAATCTTAACTTGAAATGAGGTTAAAATGGGACCCTTTTTTTCATTTTCATTTAGGAAAACTTGAACCAACCCCCCGGCTATATGTGAGAAGTTGAGACTCCACTCCCAACATTTGGTCCAGTGTTTAGTGTTTGATCGTATTATATACAGGGCCTTCAGAAAGGATTCACACCCCTCGACTTCTTCCACATGTCGTTGTGTTTCAGCCTGAATTTAAAATAGATGAAATATGAGTTTCTTCACCCGTCTACCCCATAATGACAAAGTCAAAACATGTTTTTAGACATTTTGGCAAATTAATTGAAAATTAAATACAGAATGATTTCATTTACTTAAGTATTCACACCCCTGAGTCAATACTTTGTTTCTAAGTACCTTTGGCAGCGATTACAGCTGTGAGTCTTTCTGGGTAAGTCTCTAAGCGCTTTCCACTCCTGGATTGTGCAACATTTGATCATGTATTATGCTCTTTTCACTCTGTCAATTAGGCTGGTATTGTGGAGTAATTACAATGTTGTTAACTACAATGTTGTTGATCCATCCTCGGTCACTAAAACATGTTAAACACTATTATTGCTCACAGAGTGAGTCCATGCAACTTATGTGACTTGTTAAGCACATTTTTACTCCTGAACGTATTTAGGCTAGCCATAACAAAGGGGTTGAATACTTATTGAATCAAGACATTTCAGATGTTCATTTTTAATTCATTTGTAAAAATGTCAAAAAACATAATTCCACGTTGACGTCATTGGGTATTGTGTGTAGGCCAGTGATAAAAATCTCAATTTAATCCATTTTAAATTCAGGCTGTAACAACAAAATGTGGAAAAAGTCTAGAAGTGTGAATACTTTCTGAAGGCACTGTAGATTAGGCTGTGTTATGCTTAATTACAATCAGTTTATTTATTATCATTTATGGTTAATGATATATATTTTCACCTCAAGGCCCTTTGTAAAAGTCCTGAATGATGAAGCTGTTGGCCAAACCTTTGTTTATTCTAAATCACACATTTTGAAAGATGTTTGACATCTTTGGTATGGTGAGGATAGAAATCACGCCATTTGCATTTCTCACAAAAAAAGTATTGGGGACAATAATGTTGGGATATGTAATTACTTGCCGAAATTGACTGCCTGTCTTTCTGTAATACATGAAAATGGTCCAAACCTAGGAATCGGAATGTCCCCATGCACAGTAGGCTATCTGGTGTTTTACCCTGTATAACTGGTTAGGTTACACCTGGGGTTTTACCCTGTATAACTGGTTAGGTTACACCTGGGGTTTTACCCTGTATAACTGGTTAGGTTACACCTGGGGTTTTACCCTGTATAACTGGTTAGGTTACACCTGGGGTTTTACCCTGTTTAACTGGTTAGGTTACACCTGGGGTTTTACCCTGTATAACTGGTTAGGTTACACCTGGGGTTTTACCCTGTATAACTGGTTAGGTTACACCTGGGGTTTTACCCTGTATAACTGGTTAGGTTACACCTGGGGTTTTACCCTGTATAACTGGTTAGGTTACACCTGGTGTTTCAGCCTGTATAACTGGTTAGGTTACACCTGGTGTTTCAGCCTGTATAACTGGTTAGGTTACACCTGGGGTTTTACCCTGTATAACTGGTTAGGTTACACCTGGTGTTTCAGCCTGTATAATTTGTTCGGTTAGCCTACACCTGTATGGTCAAGGAATGGTTCATAACACTACAAAATGGGTAGAGACAATGGGGTTTAGTTGCTGAGTGTAAACTCAACCTAACTTGGCTGTGGTGTGAGTATAGTGTATTCAATTGGTTTCCAAATGTGTTTTAATGTTTAAGCTACTCACCAGTAATACTTGGGGCGTATTGAGAGGCTGAACGAGGAATATAGAAGTGATTTTTGCCCAGCTAATATACTGTAGATGGGCCCATCATTGCAATGACGCGACAAACAAATAGCCCACTAAGAGAGATGCTAAGGGTAGATTTTATTGTGTACATTTTCTTTAGCACCACTTGACCCTTGGTAGTAACTTGTGACCTATAACCTTTGACCTATAATGTGTGGTAAAATTACACTAGAGATAAAAACAGACTTAAGCTTTTGTTGTTGTTGACATTTGTTGGTCCGGTTTCATTCAATTAATATACCAATGTTTGTTGCCAAGTTTGTCTGAATATGACAGTATTTTAATGGTAATAATTGCTAACAAATGATTTACGGTAATCCTGATAATCAATAAGTTGAAAGGGTATTCAACATTTGGAGAAACTGATCATTTAGTTTTTTGGTGGAAAACTTAAATTGTAAGTTTGATAAGTTGTGCTATTATTTTGTAGTATTTTTATCCACAATGTTTTCCCGTTTGCGGCCAGCAGACAACAGTTAGATTTGTAAAACCTAATAGCCGACTGTTGGTACCATTTTATGGCTGTTTCTTTTAAAAAAAACTAAACTGAGTTGTAGTTTTAAGATGAGGTTGGTTTTGGTTTATCTGTTGAAAAACTGTATTTGTCTCAAAGTTCACCGCCTCAACTGTGGACTTCCTATGGCTCAAACCTCACAGGCAACTCTGAAGAGAAGGAAACTACTTAGTATTTGTGCATTTTCACTGAGAAAGCAGCTTTTAAGTTGTCTTCTTTTGTGCTCTGTTTTAAGTGGAATAATATGACCCTCTTGCTTTGTGCTATGTACCTGATTTCATTGGGAAGACAAGAAAGGGAACATCCTCTTCCCACACTGCGCTTACTGCCAAGCTGTTTAACACACTCAGAGAAAAAGTGCATTTACGCACTTATTTGTCCTCCGAATATCAATAAATGTTCATTTGAGGGAAACCTGTTTCTGCCGTGGAAATGAATTGAAGAGAGAGAGAACTGTTCTGACTACCCCGTCTGTTGTGTTTCCAAAAAGGAATTGTTTATCACTTTGAATTGTGACAGAAAAAAAAAGGGAACCGAACACCTCTTTGCTGATTGTTAGCGCCGAGGAGACTAGGAGAGACGTCTGCGTGATGATCGCCTGTGTGTGTTTTCTCACACACACACACACACACACACACACCTTTCAGGAGCTGTTGATGATCTGTTGAGCTAACAGGATCTGTTCAGAAGTTGTTGCTGATTAATAGCATACCTTTTGACCCCAGTACCTATGGCCCCTCCCCTCCAGGGCCGGCCCCCCTGTGTTAGTCCTACTGCTCTAGCAGGTGAATCACAGGATCCATGGAGGAGTCCCCGCTGTGACCACACACCACTGTGTATACTATGGCCCCTGTTTGACTGCATCCTCCAGCCCATGTCCTGCTCTGCAGTGTGAAACACAATGGCAGGCTGACACACTAGTGCAGAATGTGAGAGAACAGGGCTGGATTTGCAGCGCCCCTCTTGCTCTCACTGTTGTCTTCAACAAGGTTTTTCTCTGTTTGAGTTGACCACAGCCTGGGGTGTGGCTGTGGGCTGTGCCATGTCCACGGTTCCCTACACAAGCAGAGGGAGAGTCCTGTCACCGGCCGCCACCCACGATGCACCTCCTTGGGTGCAGTTTCTTAACTCATATAGCAGCTCTATGGTACCACTGCAAGCTGTTGCACTGCTGAGGGAGTCACCTTGACCTGTGACCTTTCAACGTTTCCCAGTTCTCCCAGAATAATGATTATTTGTTGCCATCATCATTTTGATTTTTTCAGTTTATGATTTGACTCCATGTATGCAGTGAATGGATTCAGGATCACCCCTTTTCACAACTAGGAATATTGTTTATTGTTGCGTTTTATTGAATATTTTCCTGAAAGAAAGGATCAGGAGGATGTTGTTCTGCTACGGTTTCCCCTGACAACCGCAGAACAACATCCAACATCATCTACCTCACATTTCACTTGAACAAGGGAACTTAAGCAGAAAGGGTAAAATGAGAAATCTGAAACTCAATTTCACTCAACATTTTCACAGGTTGTGAAAGGATCCATATTGTTTTATCTTGTTTTATTTTGTGACGGTTCAACCAAGAGGCCCCTCCGTTTTAAAGTCCCCTTATCTAATGAAGAAATACTTCATTATATTGATCTCATATAGCTCCTCCCAGTACAAGTGCAGTAACAGCAGAGTTTAAAATCCCACCTGCTCTTGGTGCTGAAAAAAGAAAACGCCACTGAAGAAATGCTGCCCTCTAGAGGATCATGAAGAATCTGCATTCTGCACGCCCCCTATGTAACACAGCGACTATGCACCTGCTGACAGACAGGACCACAGGACCAGGGGAGCTGCTATCCCTACTTTATTGCCATAGGGAGCCACTACACTACACTGATGGCATGGAGAGACAGCTTGTTGCTGTCACTGCAGAGCCTATTGGTGAGTTAGGAGGACAAGCTGTCACTGCAGAGCCTGTTGGTGAGTTAGGAGGAGGGAGGCTGCTTCCTGGCCTTTATAAGTCTGGAAGAAGCAGAGGTACGTATATTACCAATATTATGCTACAGTAAGTATGGTACCGTATAAAGGGTTCCTTGCTTTTTACCTAGCTCCATTCAGTCTAGCTTGGTAGTCCACTCAAAATACAACCTAACATGATTTTCTACCTCCCTTCACTGTAGCCCAGTCACTAGCAAGTCTTTTTAATAATGTGCTTACTCATTACAGCCATAGGTCTACAGTAGTGTCAGAAAACACTGGGTCTATTCTCCAATTCTACACAGTCATTAATATAAACACTTGTGAAGTAAGTGACTAGCACATGTAACAGTGTTGCTTCCGTCCCTCTCCTCGCCCCTACCTGGGCTTGAACCAGGGACCCTTTGCACACATCGACAACAGTCACCCTCGAAGCATCGTTGCCCGTCGCTCCACAAAAGCCGCGGCCCTTGCAGAGCAAGGGAAACAACTACTTCAAGGTCTCAGAGCGAGTGACGTCATCGATTTGAAACGCTACTAGCGCGCACCGCTAACTAGCTAGCCATTTCACACCGGTTACACTCACCCCCCCTTTGACCTCCTCCTTTTCCGCAGCAACCAGTGATCCGGGTCAACAGCATCAATGTAACAGTGTTGCTTCTGTCCCTCTCCTCGCCCCTACCTGGGCTTGAACCAGGGACCCTCTGCACACATCGACAACAGTCACCCTAGAAGCATCGTTACCCATTGCTCCACAAAAGCCATTTCACACCGGTTACACACTCGGCGCAGACACCCATGCATACCCCACAAGACATGCCACCAGGGGTCTTTTCACAGTCCCCAAGTCCAGAACAGACTGGGAAATGCACAGTACTACATAGAGCCATGACTACATGGAACTCTATTCCACATCAAGTAACTCAAGCAAGCAGTAAAATCAGATTTGAAAAAACATAAAACCATCTTCTGGAACAATGCGGACTGTAAAGAGACACACACATGCACAAACACTCTACACGTACATTGTAATATTGTGGTATTATAAATGTTGTAGTGTAGATACACTAACGGTCAAAGTTTTAGAACAACTACTCATTCAAGGGTTTTATTTGTACTGTTTTCTACATTGTAGAATAATAGTGAAGACATCAAAACTATGAAATAACACATTTGGAATCATGTAGTAACCAAAAAAGTGTTAAACTAATCTAAATATATTTTAGATTTCAGATTCTTCAAATAGCCATCCTTTGCCTTGATGACAGCCTTGCACACTCTTGGCATTCTCTCAACCAGCTTCATGAGGTAGTCACCTGGAATGATTTTTCAATTAACAGCTGTGCCTTCTTAAAAGTTAATTTGTGGAATTTATTTCCTTAATGCGTTTGAGCCAATCAGTTGTGTTGTGACAAGGTATACAGAAGATAGCCCTATTTGGTAAAAGACCAAGTCCATATTATGGCAAGAACAGCTCAAATAAGCAAAGGGAAACGACAGTCCATCATTACTTTAAGACATGAAGGTCAGTCAATCCGGAACATTTCAAGAACTTTGAAAGTTTCTTCAAGTGCAGTCACAAAAACCATCAAGCGCCAAGAGTGTGCAAAGCTGTCATCAAGGCAAAGGGTGGCTACTTTGAAGAATCTAAAATCTAAAATATATTTTGATTTGTTTAACACTTTTTTGGTTACTACATGAATCCAAATGTGTTATTTCATAGTTTTGATGTCTTCACTATTATTATACAATGTAGAAAATAGTAAAAATTAAGAAAAACCCTTCAATGAGTAGGTGTTATAAAACTTTTGACCGGTAGTGTATGTAGTGGTAGAGTAGTGGTGTAATAATGTGTTGTATGATGTACAGTTTTATTTAGATTTTTTTGTATGTAATTGCCTTAATCCTGTTTGGACCCCAGGAAGAGTAGCTGCTGCTTTGGCAGGGACTAATGGGGATACTTAATAAATGCACATACAAATGTGGTTACAGTCACTGTAAGACAAAATAAAAAGTGTTTTAAATGATTTGAAATGCCTCCAAAACATGTCCACCGTATCCAAGCTGCACGTGTGACCTGTCTCTGCACTAATCTTCACTTTCTGGAAGCCCTTACCCTGGACATTGGGAGGGAAGTACAATGTCCCCTAGTTACCACCTTCACTACCACTGTAAACAGAGGCTGTGGTGAAAATGGTTAATTACCATACAACCATATTCCGGAGCAACTCACTCCAAACCTAGTCCTGGGACCTGGTCCATGTAAGCCTACCACCTGCTAACAGTAAGTAACTGTGTTGTAGTACCACCTGCTAACAGTAATTAACTGTGTTGTAGTACCACATGCTAACAGTAACTGTTGGAGTACCACCTGCTAACAGTAACTGTGTTGTAGTACCACCTGCTAACAGTAAGTAACTGTGTTGTAGTACCACCTGCTAACAGTAAGTAACTGTGTTGGAGTACCACCTGCTAACATTAACTGTGTTGGAGTACCACCTGCTAACAGTAACTGTGTTGTAGTACCACCTGCTAACAGTAACTGTGTTGGAGTACCACCTGTTAACAGTAACTGTGTTGGAGTACCAATTGCTAACAGTCACTGTGTTGTAGTACCACCTGCTAACAGTAACTGTGTTGGAGTACCACCTGCTAACAGTAAGTAACTGTGTTGGAGTACCACATGCTAACAGTAACTGTGTTGTATTACCACCTGCTAACAGTAACTGTGTTGTAGTACCGCCTGCTAACAGTAAGTGTTTTGTAGTACCACCTGCTAACAGTAACTGTGTTGTTGTACCACCTGCTAACAGTAACTGTGTTATAGTACCACCTGCTAACAGTCACTATGTTGTAGTACCACCTGCTAACAGTAACTGTTTTGGAGTACCACCTGCTAACAGTAAGTAACTGTGTTGGAGTACCACCTGCTAACAGTAAGTAACTGTTGGAGTACCACCTGCTAACAGTAAGTAACTGTGTTGGAGTACCACCTGCTAACAGTAACTGTGTTGTAGTACCACCTGCTAACAGTCACTGTGTTGTAGTACCACCTGCTAACAGTAACTGTGTTGTAGTACCACCTGCTAACAGTAACTAACTGTGTTGGAGTACCACCTACTAACAGTAAGTAACTGTGTTGGAGTACCACCTGCTAACAGTAACTGTGTTGGAGTACCACCTGCTAACAGTAAGTGTGTTGTAGTACCACCTGCTAACAGTAACTGTGTTGGAATACCACCTGCTAACAGTAAGTAACTGTGTTGGAGTACCACCTGCTAACAGTAACTGTGTTGTAGTACCACCTGCTAACAGTCACTGTGTTGTAGTACCACCTGCTAACAGTAACTGTGTTGTAGTACCACCTGCTAACAGTAACTAACTGTGTTGGAGTACCACCTGCTAACAGTAAGTAACTGTGTTGGAGTACCACCTGCTAACAGTAACTGTGTTGGAGTACCACCTGCTAACAGTAAGTGTGTGTTGGAGTACCACCTGCTAACAGTAACTGTGTTGTAGTACCACCTGCTAACAGTAACTGTGTTGTAGTACCACCTGCTAACAGTAACTGTGTTGGAGTACCACCTGCTAACAGTAAGTAACTGTTTTGGAGTACCACATGCTAACAGTAACTGTGTTGTATTACCACCTGCTAACAGTAACTGTGTTGTAGTACCACCTGCTAACAGTAACTGTGTTGTAGTACCGCCTGCTAACAGTAAGTGTTTTGTAGTACCACCTGCTAACAGTAACTGTGTTGGAGTACCACCTGCTAACAGTAACTGTGTTGTTGTACCACCTGCTAACAGTAACTGTGTTGTAGTACCACCTGCTAACAGTAACTATGTTGTAGTAACCACCTGCAACAGTAACTGTTTGTGGAGTACCACCTGCTAACAGTAAGTAACTGTGTTGGAGTACCACCTGCTAACAGTAAGTAACTGTGTTGGAGTACCACCTGCTAACAGTAAGTAACTGTGTTGGAGTACCACCTGCTAACAGTAACTGTGTTGGAGTACCACATGCTAACATTAACTGTGTTTTAGTACCACCTGCTAACTGTAACTGTTGTAGTACCACCTGCTAACAGTAACTGTGTTGTAGTACCACCTGCTAAAAGTAACTGTTGGAGTACCACCTTGCTAACAGTAACTGTGTTGTATACCACATTCTATCAGTAACTGTGTTGTAGTACCTCCTGCTAATGGTAACTGTGTTGTAGTACCACTTGTTAACAGTACCTGTGTTGTAGTACCACCTGCTAACAGTAACTGTGTGTTGTAGTACCACATGCTAACAGTAAGTAACTGTGTTGGAGTACCACCTGCTAACAGTAAGTAACTGTGTTGTAGTACCACATGCTAACAGTAAGTAACTGTGTTGGAGTACCACCTGCTAACAGTAAGTAACTGTGTTGGAGTACCACCTGCTAACAGTAAGTGTTTTGTAGTACCACCTGCTAACAGTAACTGTGTTGGAGTACCACCTGCTAACAGTAACTGTGTTGTTGTACCACCTGCTAACAGTAACTGTGTTGTAGTACTACCTGCTAACAGTAACTATGTTGTAGTACCACCTGCTAACAGTAACTGTTTTGGAGTACCACCTGCTAACAGTAAGTAACTGTGTTGGAGTACCACCTGCTAACAGTAAGTAACTGTGTTGGAGTACCACCTGCTAACAGTAACTGTGTTGGAGTACCACATGCTAACATTAACTGTGTTTTAGTACCACCTGCTAACTGTAACTGTTGTAGTACCACCTGCTAACAGTAACAGTGTTGTATTACCACCTGCTAAAAGTAACTGTTGGAGTACCACCTGCTAACAGTAACTGTGTTGTAGTACCACATTCTATCAGTAACTGTGTTGTAGTACCTCCTGCTAATGGTAACTGTGTTGTAGTACCACTTGCTAACAGTACCTGTGTTGTAGTACCACCTGCTAACAGTAACTGTGTGTTGTAGTACCACATGCTAACAGTAAGTAACTGTGTTGGAGTACCACCTGCTAACAGTAAGTAACTGTGTTGTAGTACCACATGCTAACAGTAAGTAACTGTGTTGGAGTACCACCTGCTAACAGTAAGTAACTGTGTTGGAGTACCACCTGCTAACAGTAAGTAACTGTGTTGGAGTACCACCTGTTAACAGTAAGTAACTGTGTTGTAGTACCACCTGCTAACAGTAAGTAACTGTGTTGGAGTACCACCTGCTAACATTAACTGTGTTGGAGTACCACCTGCTAACAGTAACTGTGTTGGAGTACCACATGCTAACAGTAACTGTGTTGTAGTACCACCTGCTAACAGTCACTGTGTTGTAGTACCACCAGCTAACAGTAAGTAACTGTGTTGGAGTACCACCTGCTAACAGTAACTGTGTTGGAGTACCACCTGCTAACAGTAAGTGTGTGTTGGAGTACCACCTGCTAACAGTAACTGTGTTGTAGTACCACCTGCTAACAGTAACTGTGTTGGAGTACCACCTGCTAACAGTAACTGTGTTGGAGTACCACCTGCTAACAGTCAATGTGTTGTAGTACCACCTGCTAACAGTAACTGTGTTGGAGTACCACCTGCTAACAGTAAGTAACTGTGTTGGAGTACCACATGCTAACAGTAACTGTGTTGTATTACCACCTGCTAACAGTAACTGTGTTGTAGTACCGCCTGCTAACAGTAAGTGTTTTGTAGTACCACCTGCTAACAGTAACTGTGTTGGAGTACCACCTGCTAACAGTAACTGTGTTGTTGTACCACCTGCTAACAGTAACTGTGTTGTAGTACCACCTGCTAACAGTAACTATGTTGTAGTACCACCTGCTAACAGTAACTGTTTTGGAGTACCACCTGCTAACAGTAAGTAACTGTGTTGGAGTACCACCTGCTAACAGTAAGTAACTGTGTTGGAGTACCACCTGCTAACAGTAAGTAACTGTGTTGGAGTACCACCTGCTAACAGTAAGTAACTGTGTTGGAGTACCACCTGCTAACAGTAACTGTGTTGTAGTACCACCTGCTAACAGTCCCTGTGTTGGAGTACCACCTGCTAACAGATACCGTGTTGTAGTACCACCTGCTAACAGTAACTGTGTTGTAGTACCACCTGCTAACAGTAACTGTGTTGTAGTACCACCTGCTAACAGTAACTAACTGTGTTGGAGTACCACCTGCTAACAGTAAGTAACTGTGTTGGAGTACCACCTGCTAACAGTAACTGTGTTGTAGTACCACCTGTTACAGTAACTGTGTTGGAGTACAACCTGCTAACAGTAAGTAACTGTGTTGGAGTACCACCTGTTAACAGTAAATGTGTTGGAGTACCACCTGCTAACAGTAACTGTGTGATGTAGTACCACCTGCTAACAGTAACTGTGTTTGTAGTACCACCTGCTAACAGTAACGGTGTTTGTAGTACCTCCTGCTAACAGTAACTCTGTGTTGTAGTACCACCTGCTAACAGTAACTGTGGTTGGAGTACCACATGCTAACATTAACTGTGTTGGAGTACCACATGCTAACAGTAACTGTGTTGTAGTACCACCTGCTAACAGTCACTGTGTTGTAGTACCACCTGCTAACAGTAAGTAACTGTGTTGGAGTACCACCTGCTAACAGTCACTGTGTTGGGTACCACCTGCTAACAGTAAGTGTGTGTTGGAGTACCACCTGCTAACAGTAACTGTGTTGGAGTACCCCTGCTAACAGTAACTGTGTTGGAGTAACCACCTGCTTACAGTCACTGTGTTGTAGTACCACCTGCTAACAGTACTGTGTTGGAGTACCACCTGCTACAGTAAGTAACTGTGTTGGAGTACCACATGCTAACAGTAACTGTGTTGTATTACCACCTGCTAACAGTCACTGTGTTGTTGTACCACCTGCTAACAGTAACTGTGTTGTAGTACCACCTGCTAACAGTAACTATGTTGTAGTACCACCTGCTAACAGTAACTGTTTTGGAGTACCACCTGCTAACAGTAAGTAACTGTGTTGGAGTACCACCTGCTAACAGTAACTGTGTTGTAGTACCACCTGCTAACAGTAACTGTGTTGGAGTACCACCTGCTAACAGTAAGTGTGTGTTGGAGTACCACCTGCTAACAGTAACTGTGTTGGAGTACCCCCTGCTAACAGTAACTGTGTTGGAGTACCACCTGCTAACAGTCACTGTGTTGTAGTACCACCTGCTAACAGTAACTGTGTTGGAGTACCACCTGCTAACAGTAAGTAACTGTGTTGGAGTACCACATGCTAACAGTAACTGTGTTGTATTACCACCTGCTAACAGTCACTGTGTTGTTGTACCACCTGCTAACAGTAACTGTGTTGTAGTACCACCTGCTAACAGTAACTATGTTGTAGTACCACCTAATAACAGTAACTGTTTTGGAGTACCACCTGCTAACAGTAAGTAACTGTGTTGGAGTACCACCTGCTAACAGTAAGTAACTGTGTTGGAGTACCACATCCTAACAGTAACTGTGTTGGAGTACCACATGCTAACAGTAACTGTGTTGTAGTACCACCTGCTAACAGTAACTGTGTTGGGGTACCACCTGCTAACAGTAACTGTGTTGTTGTACCACCTGCTAACAGTAACCGTGTTGTAGTACCACCTGCTAACAGTAAATGTGTTGGAGTACCACCTGCTAACAGTCACTGTGTTGTAGTACCACCTGCTAACAGTAACTGTGTTGTAGTACCACCTGCTAACAGTAAGTAACTGTGTTGGAGTACCACATGCTAACAGTAAGTAACTGTGTTGGAGTACCACCTGCTAACAGTAAGTAAATGTGTTGGAGTACCACATGCTAACAGTAACTGTGTTGGAGTACCACATGCTAACAGTAACTGTGTTGTAGTACCACCTGCTAACAGTAACTGTGTTGGGGTACCACCTGCTAACAGTAACTGTGTTGTTGTACCACCTGCTAACAGTAACCGTGTTGTAGTACCACCTGCTAACAGTAAATGTGTTGGAGTACCACCTGCTAACAGTCACTGTGTTGTAGTACCACCTGCTAACAGTAACTGTGTTGTAGTACCACCTGCTAACAGTAAGTAACTGTGTTGGAGTACCACATGCTAACAGTAAGTAACTGTGTTGGAGTACCAACTGCTAACAGTAAGTAACTGTGTTGGAGTACCACATGCTAACAGTAACTGTGTTGTATTACCACCTGCTAACAGTAACTGTGTTGTAGTACTGCCTGCTAACAGTAAGTGTTTTGTAGTACCACCTGCTAACAGTAACTGTGTTGGAGTACCACCTGCTAACAGTAACTGTGTTGTTGTACCACCTGCTAACAGTAACTGTGTTGTAGTACCACCTGCTAACAGTAACTATGTTGTAGTACCACCTGCTAACAGTAACTGTTTTGGAGTACCACCTGCTAACAGTAAGTAACTGTGTTGGAGTACCACCTGCTAACAGTAAGTAACTGTGTTGGAGTACCACCTGCTAACAGTAAGTAACTGTGTTGGAGTACCACCTGCTAACAGTAACTGTGTTGTAGTACCACCTGCTAACAGTCCCTGTGTTGGAGTACCACCTGCTAACAGATACCGTGTTGTAGTACCACCTGCTAACAGTAACTGTGTTGTAGTACCACCTGCTAACAGTAACTGTGTTGTAGTACCACCTGCTAACAGTAACTAACTGTGTTGGAGTACCACCTGCTAACAGTAAGTAACTGTGTTGGAGTACCACCTGCTAACAGTAACTGTGTTGTAGTACCACCTGTTAACAGTAACTGTGTTGGAGTACAACCTGCTAACAGTAAGTAACTGTGTTGGAGTACCACCTGTTAACAGTAAATGTGTTGGAGTACCATCTGCTAACAGTAACTGTGTGATGTAGTACCACCTGCTAACAGTAACTGTGTTGTAGTACCACCTGCTAACAGTAACGGTGTTGTAGTACCTCCTGCTAACAGTAACTCTGTGTTGTAGTACCACCTGCTAACAGTAACTGTGTTGGAGTACCACATGCTAACATTAACTGTGTTGGAGTACCACATGCTAACAGTAACTGTGTTGTAGTACCACCTGCTAACAGTCACTGTGTTGTAGTACCACCTGCTAACAGTAAGTAACTGTGTTGGAGTACCACCTGCTAACAGTCACTGTGTTGGAGTACCACCTGCTAACAGTAAGTGTGTGTTGGAGTACCACCTGCTAACAGTAACTGTGTTGGAGTACCCCCTGCTAACAGTAACTGTGTTGGAGTACCACCTGCTAACAGTCACTGTGTTGTAGTACCACCTGCTAACAGTAACTGTGTTGGAGTACCACCTGCTAACAGTAAGTAACTGTGTTGGAGTACCACATGCTAACAGTAACTGTGTTGTATTACCACCTGCTAACAGTCACTGTGTTGTTGTACCACCTGCTAACAGTAACTGTGTTGTAGTACCACCTGCTAACAGTAACTATGTTGTAGTACCACCTGCTAACAGTAACTGTTTTGGAGTACCACCTGCTAACAGTAAGTAACTGTGTTGGAGTACCACCTGCTAACAGTAAGTAACTGTGTTGGAGTACCACATCCTAACAGTAACTGTGTTGGAGTACCACATGCTAACAGTAACTGTGTTGTAGTACCACCTGCTAACAGTAACTGTGTTGGGGTACCACCTGCTAACAGTAACTGTGTTGTTGTACCACCTGCTAACAGTAACCGTGTTGTAGTACCACCTGCTAACAGTAAATGTGTTGGAGTACCACCTGCTAACAGTCACTGTGTTGTAGTACCACCTGCTAACAGTAACTGTGTTGTAGTACCACCTGCTAACAGTAAGTAACTGTGTTGGAGTACCACATGCTAACAGTAAGTAACTGTGTTGGAGTACCAACTGCTAACAGTAAGTAACTGTGTTGGAGTACCACCTGCTAACAGTAACTGTGTTGGAGTACCACCTGCTAACAGTAAGTAACTGTGTTGGAGTACCACTTGCTAACACTAACTGTGTTGGAGTACCACATGCTAACAGTAACTGTGTTGTAGTACCACCTGCTAACAGTCCCTGTGTTGGAGTACCACCTGCTAACAGATACCGTGTTGTAGTACCACCTCCTAACAGTAACTGTGTTGTAGTACCACCTGCTAACAGTAACTGTGTTGTAGTACCACCTGCTAACTGTAAGTAACTGTGTTGGAGTACCACCTGCTAACAGTAAGTAACTGTGTTGGAGTACCACTTGCTAACAGTAACTGTGTTGGAGTACCACATGCTAACATTAACTGTGTTGTAGTACCACCTGCTAACTGTAACTGTGTTGTAGTACCACCTGCTAACAGTAATAATAATAATAATAATAATAATAATAATAATATGCCATTTAGCAGACGCTTTTATCCAAAGCGACTTACAGTCATGCGTGCATACATTTTTGTGTATGGGTGGTCCCGGGGATCGAACCCACTACCTTGGCGTTACAAGCGCCGTGCTCTACCAGCTGAGCTACAGAGGACCACTGTAACACTGTTGTATTACCACCTGCTAAAAGTAACTGTGTTGGAGTACCACCTGCTAACAGTAACTGTGTTGTAGTACCACCTTCTAACAGTAACTGTGTTGTAGTACCTCCTGCTAATGGTAACTGTGTTGTAGTACCACTTGCTAATAGTAACTGTGTTGTAGTACCTCCTGCTAACAGTAACTGTGTTGTAGTACCACCTGCTAACAGTAAATGTGTTTGAGTACCACCTGCTAACAGTAACTCTGTTATAGTACCACCTGCTAACAGTAACTGTGTGTTGTAGTACCTCCTGCTAACAGTAACTGTGTTGTAGTACCACCTGCTAACAGAAACTGTGTTGGAGTACCACCTGCTAACAGTTACTGTATTGGAGTACCACCTGCTAACAGTAACTGTGTTGTAGTACCACCTGCTAACAGTAACTGTGTTGGAGTACGATCTGCTAACAGTAACTGTGTTGGAGTACCACCTGCTAACAGTAACTGTGTTGTAGTACCACCTGCTAACAGTAACTGTGTTGTAGTACCACCTGCTAACAGTAATTGTGTTGTAGTACCACCTGCTAACAGTAACTATGTTGTAGTACCACCTGCTAACAGTAACTGTTTTGGAGTACCACCTGCTAACAGTAAGTAACTGTGTTGGAGTCCCACCTGCTAACAGTAACTGTGTTGGAGTACCACCTGCTAACCGATACCGTGTTGTAGTACCACCTGCTAACAGTAACTGTGTTGTAGTACCACCTTCTAACTGTAACTGTGTTGTAGTACCACCTGCTCACAGGAACTGTGTTGTAGTACCACCTGCTAACAGTACGTGTTTTGTAGTACCACCTGCTAACAGTACGTGTTTTGGAGTACCACCTGCTAACAGTCACTGTGTTGGAGTACCACCTGCTAACAGTCACTGTGTTTTAGTACCACCTGGTAACAGTAACTGTGTTGTAGTACGACTTTCTAACAGTAACTGTGTTGTAGTACCACCTGCTCACAGTAACTGTGTTGTAGTACCACCTGCTAACAGTAAATGTTTTTGAGTAACACCTGCTAACAGTAACTGTGTTGTAGTACCACCTGCTAACAGTAACTGTGTTGTATTGCCACCTGTTAACAGTAACTGTGTTGGAGTACAACCTGCTAACAGTAAGTAACTGTGTTGTAGTACAACTTGCTAACAGTAACTGTGTGTTGTAGTACCACCTGCTAACAGTAAGTAACTGTGTTGGAGTATCACCTGCAAAAAATAAGTAACTGTTGTAGTACCACCTTCTAACACTAACTGTGTTGGAGTACCACATGCTAACAGTAACTGTGTTGTAGTACCACCTGCTAACAGTCCCTGTGTTGGAGTACCACCTGCTAACAGATACCGTGTTGTAGTACCACCTGCTAACAGTAACTGTGTTGGAGTACCACCTGCTAACAGTAACTGTGTTGTAGTACCACCTGCTAACAGTAACTGTGTTGTAGTACCACCTACTAACAGTAACTGTGTTTGAGTACCACCTGCTAACAGTAAGTAACTGTGTTGGAGTACCACCTGCTAACAGTAAGTAACTGTGTTGGAGTACCACCTGCTAACAATAAGTAACTGTGTTGGAGTACCACCTGCTAACAGTAAGTAACTGTGTTGGAGTCCCACCTGCTAATAGTAAGTAACTGTGTTGGAGTACCACCTGCTAACAATAACTGTGTTGGAGTACCACCTGCTAACAATAAGTAACTGTTGGAGTATATCCTGCTAACAGTAACTGTGTTGTAGTACCACCTGCTAACAGTAACTGTGTTGGAGTACCACATGCTAACAGTACCTGTGTTGTAGTACCACCTGCTAACAGTAACTGTGTTGTAGTACCTTGTGCTAACAGTAACTGTGTTGTAGTACCACCTGCTAACAGTAACTGTTTTGTAGTACCACCTGCTAACAGTAAGTAACTGTGTTGGAGTACCACCTGCCAACAGTAAGTAACTGTGTTGTAGTACCACCTGCTAACAGTAACTGTGTTGTAGTACCACCTTCTAACTGTAACTGTGTTGTAGTACCACCTGCTCACAGGAACTGTGTTGTAGTACCACCGACTAACAGTAACTGTGTTGGAGTACCACCTGCTAACAGTAACTGTGTTGGAGTACCTCCTGCTAACAGTAACTGTGTGTTGTAGTACCACCTGCTAACAGTAACTGTGTTGGATTACCATCTGCTAACAGTAACTGTGTGTTGTAGTACCACCTGTTAACAGTAACTGTTTTGGAGTACCACCTGCTAACAGTAAGAAACTGTGTTGGAGTACCACCTGCTAACAATAAGTAAATGTTGGAGTACCACCTGCTAACAGTAACTGTGTTGTAGTACCACCTGCTAACAGTAACTGTGTTGTAGTACCACCTGCTAACAGTAACTGTGTGTTGTAGTACCACCTGCTAACAGTAACTGTGTTGGAGTACCACCTGCTAACAGTAACTGTGTTGTAGTACCACCTGCTAACAGTAACTGTGTTGTAGAACCACCGACTAACAGTAACTGTGTGTTGTAGTACCTCCTGCTAACAGTAACTGTGTGTTGTAGTACCACCTGCTAACAGTAACTGTGTTGTAGTATCTCCTGCTAACAGTAACTGTGTTGTAGTATCTCCTGCTAACAGTTACCGTGTTGTAGTACCACCTGCTAACAGTAACTGTGTTGTAGTACCACCTGCTAACAGTAACTGTGTTGGAGTACCACCTGCTAACAGTAACTGTGTTGTAGTACCACCTGCTGACAGTAACTGTGTTGTAGTACCACCTGCTAACAGTAAGTATGTTGGAGTACCACCTGCTAACAGTAACTGTGTTGGAGTACCACCTGCTAACAGTAACTGTGTTGTAGTACCACCTGCTAACAGTACCTGTGTTGTAGTACCACCTGCTAACAGTAACTGTGTTGTAGTACCACCTGCTAACAGTAACTGTGTTGTAGTACCTCCTGCTAACAGTACCTGTGTTGTAGTACCACCTGCTAACAGTAACTGTGTTATAGTACCTCCTGCTAACAGTACCTGTGTTGTAGTACCTCCTGCTAACAGTAACTGTGTTGTAGTACCACCTGCTAACAGTTACTGTGTTTTAGTACCACCTGCTAACAGTAACTGTGTTGTAGTACCACCTGCTAACAGTAAATGTGTTGTAGTACCACCTGCTAACAGTAACTGTGTTGGAGTACCACCTGCTAACAGTAACTGTGTTGTAGTACCACCTGCTAACAGTAACTGTGTTGTAGTACCACCTGCTAACAGTAAGTATGTTGGAGTACCACCTGCTAACAGTAACTGTGTTGGAGTACCACCTGCTAACAGTAACTGTGTTGTAGTACCACCTGCTAACAGTACCTGTGTTGTAGTACCACCTGCTAACAGTAACTGTGTTGTAGTACCTCCTGCTAACAGTACCTGTGTTGTAGTACCACCTGCTAACAGTAACTGTGTTGTAGTACCACATGCTAACAGTAACTGTGTTATAGTACCTCCTGCTAACAGTACCTGTGTTGTAGTACCACTGCTAACAGTAATGTGTTTTAGTAACCACATGCTAACAGTAACTGTTGTTATAGTACCTCCTGCTAACAGTACCTGTGGTTGTAGTACCACCTGCTAACAGTAACTGTGTTGTAGTACCAACATGCTAACAGTAACTGTGTTGTAGTACCTCCTGCTAACAGTAATGTGTGTAGTACCTCCTGCTACAGTACCTGTGTTGTAGTACCTCACTGCTAACAGTACCTGTGTTGTAGTACCACCTGCTACAGTAACTGTGTTTATAAGTACCTCCTGCTAACAGTACCTGTGTTGTAGTACCTCCTGCTAACAGTAAACTGTGGTTGTAGTACCACCTGCTAACAGTTACTGTGTTTTAGTACCACCTGCTAACAGTAACTGTGTTGTAGTACCACCTGCTAACAGTAAATGTGTTGTAGTACCACCTGCTAACAGTAACTGTGTTGGAGTACCACCTGCTATCAGTAACTGTGTTGTAGTACCACCTGCTAACAGTAACTGTGTTGTAGTACCACCTGCTAACAGTAAGTATGTTGGAGTACCACCTGCTAACAGTAACTGTGTTGGATTACCACCTGCTAACAGTAACTGTGTTGTAGTACCACCTGCTAACAGTACCTGTGTTGTAGTACCACCTGCTAACAGTAACTGTGTTGTAGTACCTCCTGCTAACAGTACCTGTGTTGTAGTACCACCTGCTAACAGTAACTGTGTTGTAGTACCACATGCTAACAGTAACTGTGTTATAGTACCTCCTGCTAACAGTACCTGTGTTGTAGTACCACCTGCTAACAGTAACTGTGTTGTAGTACCACATGCTAACAGTAACTGTGTTGTCGTACCACCTGCTAACTGTACCTGTGTTGTAGTACCACCTGCTAACAGTAACTGTGTTGGAGTACTCTGAAGGAAAGGATATCCTATTATGTAATACTTTAGGTGCACTTTAATTAGCCTGGCGCAATGGAACCAATGAAATAGTCCCCAAAGTTCAAACCCCACCCATCTGATACTCCAGGCAGGCTCAATCAAACTGTCCTCCAGTTGTAGTGAAATGTTATGCTTGGAGATGACCACCATGGTATTATTACTCACTAGCGTCTGACGGTGTTTTTAGATCAAAAACAGATGTGACAACGGATTGCCCCAAGGCTGAGATGGTAAGTTCCGGATAAAGATACATTGTGCATAAGGCATATCAATAAGGCAGATGGAGGGTTGCTGTCAACAAAATGGCTCCTGGTGAAGACCCCAGACCATCTCCTGCCGTTGTGCCCTTTTGCAAGGCGCTGCATTGTGGCTGACCGTGTGCCTCTCTACGTGTCTGTCTGTCTGTCTGGGAGGGATCTGAATGGCAGAATATTAATTTATGTTTCTCACAAAATGAATAACAAAGTATCTATTCTGTTCTAGTCGATTCTCTGTTTGTTCCCTGTAGAGTATCTCTTCTAGTGGACATACTGGACTCTGGACCATCCAAGACACTGTCAAGACACCTCAGACTGTAAGTAATACCATTCATACAAGGTGTTACTCTCTCTATAATGGCATCTATACTATTACAAACTCAGTGCTGTTGAAATTAACAATCCACATTCTGTTAATCTCTTTACCTTTCGTAACATTTGAAGAGATTTAATTTGATATCTTATAAGATGATTGTGTCAATGTTACTTATCATATTGGTCTGATATACATTGTTTTGAATTGTTCGTTGACCCTTAATAAAAGTGAGATTTTGGTGCTATTTCTTTGCACGTGAGAATGATTTTCTCCAGGTGTAGAAGCAGAAAGAACCCAGAACAAACCTCACCATCCATGTCACGTGTCACTTTATTGCAGCTGATTGTAAAGTCAGTTAAAAGGCTTACAAAAATAACTACATGTTTAGACGATAACCATAGTAACTATTATGAATACGATTGGTTAAGCATGTTTTCTAGTATGTAAAATGTCAACTCGTCATCTTGTCCGACAAGAAAATATTGCAATCTGAATACAATATCAACATCAAATACATTTCTAGGTGTTACCAATATACATTTAAGCACTTGTTGACTTTTTAAGGGTTGCATTTGTTCTTGTTTTCTTCAAAACAATTGTTGGACAAAATGTATTTTTCAGGATATTGCTTAAACCACTGTTCCTTTATAATACACAACACTGGGTTCAGACAGTAAATAATATAATAACAAAATAAAGACATCTACTTTTAAAGCGTCAAAATATCATTTTTACACATGATTTAACATTAACATTCAGTGGCCCAAAATCACTTATTGGAAATCACACTGGAAGTGAACACACAACTGTGTCCCAAATGGCACCCTATTCCCTATATAGTGCACTACTTTTGACCAGAACTTATACAGCTCTGGTCAAAAGTAGTGCCCTATATAGGGAATAGGGTGCCATTTGGGATGCTGATGAGCTCTCTTGGCATCCATTTTAGGAGCGAGCAGAGCTGCTGCGTTGTGCATAACGGTTAATGGGAGAATCTGTTAAAACAATACAAAGAGCTGTGCAGGCAGGACGCTGATGAGCTTTGTGAGAGTGAGCTGAGGGGGAAGAGAGATTTGGTACTAGTTAATGATGCAGCGTTCTTTGAGTTGAAGCTTTTTAGCACCACTAGAGGGCGATAGAAAACAAAAGATAAATGTACATCACTTAATTTTGAACCAACCTGGTCAGTGTTTCTCAACCTTTTTTGGTACCAAGGACCGGGAACTGGTCAGCAGTATCTCACGGACCGGCACAGGTCCAGGGACCGGGGGGTTGAAAAACACCGAACGATGTAAATACAGTATACAGTACTTAGAAACATTTAGTGAAGAATGGGAAATCATTGTGGTAACTGTCAAACATTTGGATCTAATATTGAGCTAGCATTACTAGTATTAAACATGTTGAGCTAGTATTACTAGTATTAAACATGTTGAGCTAGTATTAAACATGTTGAGCTAGTATTACTAGTATTAAACATGTTGAGCTAGTATTACTAGTATTAAACATGTTGAGCTAGTATTAAACATGTTGAGCTAGTATTACTAGTATTAAACATGTTGAGCTAGTATTAAACATGTTGAGCTAGTATTAAACATGTTGAGCTAGTATTACTAGTATTAAACATGTTGAGCTAGTATTACTAGTATTAAACATGTTGAGCTAGTATTAAACATGTTGCGCTAGTATTAAACATGTTGAGCTAGTATTACTAGTATTAAACATGTTGAGCTAGTATTAAACATGTTGGTGGGCTAGTATTACTAGTACTAAACATGTTGAGCTAGTATTACTAGTACTAAACATGTTGAGCTAGTATTACTAGTATTAAACATGTTGAGCTAGTATTACTAGTACTAAACATGTTGAGCTAGTATTACTAGTATTAAACATGTTGAGCTAGTATTACTAGTACTAAACATGTTGAGCTAGTATTACTAGTATTAAACATGTTGAGCTAGTATTACTAGTACTAAACATGTTGAGCTAGTATTAAACATGTTGGTGGGCTAGTATTACTAGTACTAAACATGTTGAGCTAGTATTACTAGTATTAAACATGTTGAGCTAGTATTACTAGTAGTAAACATGTTGAGCTAGTATTACTAGTACTAAACATGTTGAGCTAGTATTAAACATGTTGGTGGGCTAGTATTACTAGTACTAAACATGTTGAGCTAGTATTACTAGTATTAAACATGTTGAGCTAGTATTACTAGTACTAAACATGTTGAGCTAGTATTACTAGTATTAAACATGTTGAGCTAGTATTAAACATGTTGGTGGGCTAGTATTACTAGTACTAAACATGTTGAGCTAGTATTAGTAGTATTAAACATGTTGAGCTAGTATTACTAGTATTAAACATGTTGAGCTAGTATTACTAGTATTAAACATGTTGAGCTAGTATTACTAGTATTAAACATGTTGAGCTAGTATTACTAGTATTAAACATGTTGAGCTAGTATTACTAGTACTAAACATGTTGAGCTAGTATTGAGCTAGCTAGTACTGCATTACTACGTTTGAACCTAGTGTTTCTGAGAGAGTTTGAGGTGTAGATTATAGATGTGTCTTTGGCTCACGGTATACAGGAGGGTTAGTAAAGATACCGTTATTTATAATAAAAGACAAATAGCGGTGATAAACAATGTACCCATAGACTGACAAAACATTGAATTTTTTTTTAGATTTAAACAACTGATAGACTAGACTCCCATATATAATAGCGTTATACATTGCATTGTCATTCTGTCTGCCTAGAGTTGTGCCACTGGAGTAGCTCTACAACAGCATTTCATTTCCTCATTCTGCCAGTTCCACTACAGGATATGGGTAGTAACATCTAAAAGAAGATATATTATCTGGGCTATAATAAGTCAATAACAGCCTGAGTGCAAATCTGTTTTTTGTTCTCTATTGCCAACTCCTTGTCGCTCGATCGTTGGCAATACAGCACAAACAGACCGGCACTCAGGCTAAGCAAAATATATTATCTGTGAAGGCACTTGGTCAGTAGTTTACACAGTAAAACAGCACCAACCCAATGTACCCTGCTGTCCACCGTGTACACACACAAAGTAAAGCCAGGTATTTCATCCAATTTCATCTACTTTTCTAGCTACAGCACCAGTCAAAAGTTTGGACACTACCTACTCATTCAAGGGTTTTTCTTTATTTTTTAAAAACTATTTTCTACAACGTAGAATAATAGTGAAGACATCAAAACTATGAAATAACACATATGGAATCATGTAGTAAACCAAAAAAAGTGTTAAACAAATCAAAATATATTTTAAACATTTGAGATTCTTCAAATAGCCACCCTTTTGCCTTGACAGCTTTGCACGCTATTGAACGACACGTCTTTGTGAAAATTGTAAAAAATAAAGAAAAAACCCTGCAATGAGTAGGTGTGTCCAAACTTTTGACTGATACCGTACATATTATGTAGCTTGGTCCTTGCCAACTTCTACGGTGTGGTTTTCACGCGGCACGCCAAACAGGCAAAACAGCACAAACCAATCTGGGACCAGGCTAACCTAAATTAGGGTCTGTGTACAAAGTCATCTCCCCTCAGTTGTATACCGTACATACTGAAATCCCACTGAGCAAAAACTGGTTGAATCAACGTTGTTTCCACATCATTTCAACCAAAAAAATATAGGTGATCAACGTGGAAAACTGATTGGATTTGCAAAAAGTCATCAATGTAAGGGCATTTCGTATCTTTTAACCTAAATCCAATTACATGGTGAAATGTTTTGTTGATTTCACGTTGAATTCACGTTAGTTGACAACTCAACCAAATGTAAATCAAAACTAGACGTTGAACTGACGTCTGTGCCCAGTGGGATAGGCCTCTCATGATTATACTAACCGTGAACTATTTTAACAAACTCCAAATCCAGTTGAATGGCAATACGATACCTTAAGACGTTGAATATGTGTGGTAGGCCTATTGGAAAAACACTACTGTACCACAATACTGTTGTTTGAGCACCTGTGAATCAGAGATGCTATTGCTAACCCAAATCTTGGGTTGCTGACTCGAAAACAGCTTCACAGTACCTATGAGTGGATTTTTCTACCAGTCCATTAAAGCAGTATATTGCATGTTGCAGCAGTTCAGTGCTATTATACAATATATGGGTCTGATTGATTGACTGCAACCACTGGTAATATTACGTGAACATACAGGTAACTGACAAAATAAAGGAAACACCAACATGAAGTGTCTTAGTAGGGCGTTGGGCCACCACGAGCCGGAACAGCTTCAATGCACCTTGGCATAGATTCTACAAGTGTCTGGAACTCTATTGGAGGGATACGACACCATTCTTCCACGAGAAATTCTATTATTTTATGTTTTGTTGATGGCCGCTCCAGAATCTCCCATAAGTG